CGGCCTGATCTGTTGGACCTGAAGCAGCAATGGGCGCTATGGCGATCGTATCGTATCGGATTGGATCGGTTCGAGACTCGATTACAATAATTACAATCGGCTACGCGCGATTCACCAAATCACAGCAACAACAACAGTCGCTCTTTGCGGTAGTGTTTGTATCTACATCTGTATCCGAGTATCTGTGTGGCTGTACAGACGCACACACACACACACACCACAGAGAGAACTATTACGTGCATATAAACAATTTTTATAAGAAATTGAAGCCAAGAAGCAGAATTAAAACAAAACTCATCAACGGCATCCACATCCACGTCGTTGGGGAGAGACCAACACTCACTTGGGAGCTGCTCGCACACACACTTACCCACACGCACGAGTAAATTGCTGTGTCTGTGGCTGGGGCTGGAGAAAAGAACAGAACAGAACAGAACACGGACAAACGTTCAGACAGAGATCCATCTTCAGCATCTAGCTCTGCTCCGGCAAAAGGGCCAACACTCGTTCAGCTATGAGCGTAAGCTTTGTTTTAGGACGTCACTAACTTTTAAACAATCAATTTGTCGATTTTCTATCATTTTTTAAAATTAATTCTAACGTTTCATTTTAGAATGAAATCGTAGCTTCTTCAGAGAAGCAAAAATGATTTTCTGTTGCTTTCTTTCCGCTCAAAAGTAAATCGAATAGGTGAAAAATTGTTAGGTTTGTTTGCTAACAGCTCTGCGGCTACCGTGAAAGGGTTCGATTCAGCTAAGAGCGATTAAGCTGTGTATCTACTAGGCTCCATTTGGCAAAGCGAATCGGGCAAAACGAGAAATTGAAAAGACAGTTACAACGTCATAATGAAGCTCGGGTCTTCCTTCGCTCCCCCCCTTACGTCTTGGTGGCCCTGTGTGCCTGTGCCACATGCCTCTCTGTGTGAGTGACAACCGCGAGAGCTGTGGCAAAAGTTTACAAAAATCCGAAGCACAGCAACCGCATGCTACACATAAATACAAACACACACACATTGACAGTCCCGATCGTGATGTTGTTGTACATAGGGGAGCAATGGGTTTTTTTTTTGCGATATTGAAAAGTACATGGCAACGAGAATGAGAACCTGAAAGATAAGAGAGCTTGTTTCTTATTTGATTCTGACGATCGATCAGCTGTTCTGTTCACTGTGGAAAAAATCGTCAAGATTCGCCCTTATTAATCCCATATAATCCTTCTTCGAATCGACTAATTGCTTATAGATAGATCCATAAAATTTCCATTTCCATAAAATTAATCTAGAATTTACAATCCCCCCACATTAAATCAAATGAATCGATTTTTAGCGTTGACCAACACTGCAGCAGATGTTTGTTCTGCCTTCACTTCGTTTCTAGCCGCAGGCACGCACACAATCACCTACTATGTACATACATTGCCCCCACACACACCTACGGTACATGGTGCACTTACATTGCAACTGGCTTTTGGTCTATAATTCTTGTTTCTGGTTTTCGTGCTGCCAAGATAAGGAGTGGGGACATGGCCAGCGCAAAGCGCACAGCATCATCGTCATCATCATCATCATTATCATCGTGGTGGAGCCGAGTCGCGATGGGGCAACAGGAAACTGCAGCAGCATGGCGCTTTGTCTCTTCTCCCAAAGGAAGCGGACGGGACCAGTAATATTTACATTTATTGCAAAATTATGCATACTTTTTTGCTGTTTGTATGCAGGCATTTTTATTTGCAGACCAGATCGACTTTTTTGCGAATAATCAATTTCAGAATGTATGGTTATGTTTTGCTATTCCACTATATGTCTTTGTAGCTTTGTCCATGCTCTGCCCAACACTGGTAAATAGAGTCAACAACGTCATATATTAATGAGTTTGTAATTTGAATAAAATTTATGACGTGAACCCATTTCTATGAGGTCGACCAATCTTGCTGTGGTTTCCAAGTCTCGTTCCTCATTTCCCTCTTTCTTTGCCTCTTTCTCTATTTTTCTCCGTTTTGGATTCGGAGGGGCGGAGGCAAGCGTTGCGATTGCTACTAATGGTCGGAGATTTTCATGGAAAGTTTGTGCGGTTGTTGCTTTATCTTGTTTTATGAAAATTTCACGCTAGTCGAAAAGAATTATTAATTGCGCAGCAGCAAAGGCAACCACCACCGCAGAAGGCAGCAACAGCCGCCCCGCCGCCACAACCACACCACACCATGGCACACAAAAATCCAAAAAGTGGGAATTATGCATCGCTGCGCAGAAGCAGAACGCAGTACAAACAGTCACTTCACTCACACAGAAACATGGAAAAAAGGAGAAACAGTCTGTAAGCGCGTGTAAAAATATGGTAAACATGGAAATACGTAATAACAGTGTAACAAAAAAGGGAAATATAAAATCAGGTACAAATTTCCACCAAAAACAGTTTACATCGCTCGCTCCGTCGACGTCGGGGGGCCGTTGAGCTGCAGTCTGAATACTGGGGCTGGTCTGTGCTCTGCTCTGCTCTCTGGGGCTTTGGCCTGACTTTGACGATTTCGTGGTCACACAGTGTGAAGAATGGCTAGGAAATATTGTATGCACCGTTGTTTGGTGGGCTGTTACAGATTTACAGATTATTGCGCCAGATAACAAATGAAAGTGCCCCGGCATTTGTTGCTCCGCTGGCTGGGGCCGGGCCGGGCCGGGCCTCTGGGGTTGTAAGTGGTTGAAGAAAACGCAAGAGGAGGTGATTGTTGCAACAAAAGAAACACAAAGTTGATTCAACAGTTTCTAATTTTTTGTATTGTTTATCTTTAAGAGAGTTTCTGATTCCTACAGAATAACAGTAATTTTTGGGTGGTCTTTTTTTCTTACATATACATATGTATGGTTTATGAAGAAAGACCGTAGATAAGCCAAAGCTGCGCTTCAGCAATTTTTTGGTTGAAAAAGTGTAAGCTTATAAATCATTTGATCTGTTAGATTATATAAATGCCTGGCAACACTATCCACAAGAACAATATTGTGCAACACTGGCCAAATGCTAAAAAAGAATTTTGTGTCGCCGTGAAAAGTTGTTTGCGAAAAGAAAAGTGTCGTCATGGCCAACAAATTTGGATATGTTAGCTCAAAGCTCCTGCAGTTTTCCAAGGGCTATCTAAGCCGCACATCGGTGCGTCCAAAGACAAGCTTTTCGGCCCGCAGCTGGATCCCAGGACGTCCAAAATTGCTGGCGTTGGGCGCTCTGACTGGCGGAATGGGAGCGCTGCTGTACGCCCTGGATGCGAGTGTTGATGCCTCGCACGACTGTGTGCACCCATCGAAGCAGAGTTGGTCCCACAAGGGTCTACTGTCGGCCCTCGACAGGGAGGCTGTGCGCCGCGGCTACCAGGTGTACAAGGAGGTGTGCTCCTCGTGCCACTCGCTGCAGTACATTGCGTACCGCAACCTGGTCAATAATTGTATGACCGAAGCGGAGGCGAAGGCAGAGGCCGAGCAGGTGATGGTGAAGGATGGACCCGATGAGAACGGCGAGTACTTCGAGCGCCCGGGCAAGCTGTCGGACTATTTGCCGGCACCCTATCCTAACGAGGACGCCGCCCGCTCGGCCAACAACGGAGCCTATCCGCCGGACCTGAGCTACATCGTGTCTGCGCGCAAGGGAGGCGAGGATTACATTTTTGCGCTGCTGACTGGCTACTGTGATCCGCCAGCTGGATTCGTGCTGCGCGACGGCCAGTACTTCAACCCGTACTTCTCCGGCGGCGCCATTTCGATGGGCCAGGTCATCAACAACGAGGTTGTGAGCTACGCAGACGAGGAGGTTGCCCCATCGGGCTCCCAGATTGCCAAGGATGTGGTCACGTTCCTCAAGTGGACCTCGGAGCCGGAGTCGGATGAGCGTAAGCTGCTGCTGATCAAGGTGGTCCTTATTTGTTCGTTCCTGATTGGAATAAGCTACTACATCAAGCGCCATAAGTGGTCGGCGTTGAAGTCACGCAAGATTTTTTTCGTGCCGGAGGTCACTGGAAATGGAAATGGCCAGAGCAAAGGAAACGGCCAGGGCAATGGAAGCGCCAAAACCGATGAAGGTTGCCCGAAGTATGACCACAAGAATAGCGAGGGAAATGGCAAGAAGACCGACGGAGATGGCAAGCCAAAGTAATAATTATCTATTCATTAAATGCTGTATGGAAAACTAACAACACCACCAATCTTTCATTTTTCCATTTTCTATGTGCATAAAACAATAAATACTTTCAAAACATGAATTTAGCGCGCACAACAATTAAAAAACAATCCAGGGTTGCACTTGTCAGACAATACAGTAGAGACGAGACGTCTAGTATCCAGTATTTAAAAAAAAAATACTACGTTAAATACTAAGAAACTTTGTGCGGTCCTACTATTATCTATAAACTGCGCGTATATTATAAGCTGTTCGGAATATTTGATGTCGAAATCGAGTGCAAAGTATATTTCCGGTATATAAAAGTATAATTAATTTATTTCACCAATATACTTTAAAATATAGACACTTTTCAAAATGACCGCCAAACTCCATTTAGCGCACAAAAAATACCGAAATTGTTCTCAATTAAGACCAACAAAACAGCTGTTACGTGAAACAAAGCAATCCAATCCAATCCAAGGGCCTTGCCCTTGGATAGAGTTCTGAAAAATTAGCCAAATCTTGCACACAATTTATTGATAAATTGGATAAAATTAGATGTCTAGTAATGAGACAGCTAACTGGCTAGTAATATTAAACCGAATTTCATAAGCGGGGAATATGATTTCAGATCAGGGACAGAGAACGATTAACCCATTGTCGACCCGTGGGTATTTAAATACAAACATTATAATGAGGAAACTTTTAACGCAGTTCAGGTAAAAGATACGTGGGCATTTTATTTTTGTAGTAAAGGGAAGGATGGATCTACAAGGAACATTTATAGGAAGAGCGAACAGTAATATTTCCCGCGGTTTAACTTGCGGTGTTCACCTGTTTAAATAGTCGGGGGTTAAGTGGGCTAAGTTGGTTTTTTTCCTCTGTGTACCAAATTTATAAACAAAATGACAACGCATCCTTCCAGCAGGTTTATGGAATGTCTGCAGTATGCGGCTCACAAACATCGGGACCAGCGGCGCAAGGATCCGCAGCAAACGCCATACGTAAATCATGTGATAAATGTGAGTACAATTCTGGCCGTGGAGGCTTGCATAGAGGATGAGGCCGTTCTAATGGCTGCCATGCTGCACGATGTGGTGGAGGACACCGACGCAACGTTCGAAGACGTGGAGCAGCTGTTCGGCGCCGATGTCTGTGGTCTGGTACGCGAGGTGACGGACGACAAATCGCTGGAAAAGCAGGAACGCAAACGTTTGCAAATTGCCAATGCGGCCAAGACGAGCCCGAGGGCTAAGCTCATCAAGTTGGCTGATAAGCTGGACAATCTAAGGGACTTGCTGGTCAACACGCCGCAGGGATGGACGGAGGTAAACAGAGCTGCCGCCACGAAAACCCATTCTAAGCAATCCGCCTTTTTCCATTGTAGGAACGTCGGGAGCTGTACTTCGTTTGGGCCAAGCAGGTGGTGGACAATCTGCGCGGCACCAATGCCAACCTGGAACTCAAGCTGGACGAGATATTTAGGCAGCGCGGGCTGTTGTAAATATAAATCAACAGAATAGCTTATTTTTTATTGTTTTTGTAAAACTCCACCATGAGATTTGCCAGCTGCTGCGTCTCCTCCAGTGTGACGGCATTGTAGAGTGAGGCACGTATACCGCCCACTGAGCGATGGCCCTTCAGCTGGATCATGCCTTCAGCCTCGGCCTTGGCCAGAAACTCCTTCTCCAGTGCATCATTGCCGGCGGCGCTGCCAATGCGGAATGGAACGTTCATGTGGGAGCGCACATTCGTGTCCACGGGACAGTAATAGAAGCCGTTGGACTTATCGATGGTGTCATAGATGAGCTTCGACTTGGCGTTTGCCAGCTTGGACATGCCAGCGATGCCGCCATTTCGCTTGATCCACTTGAAAACCAATCCCATCACGTAGATGCTGCAAAGAATGAAGATTAGCATATCGGGGAAGCAAGACAGGACGCCTGGAAACCTACACAAATGTGGGTGGGGTGTTCATCAGGGAGCTGTTCTTGTCCATCAGCTCGAAGTTCAGGATGGATGGTGTGCTCTTCAGATGCTTGCCGATCAGATCGTCACGCACAATTATCACCGTTGTGCCCGCTGGTCCAATATTCTTCTGTGCGCCGGCAAATATTACCCCAAACTTGCCAACATCGATGGGACGCGAGAGGAAGTTGGACGACATATCAGCCACCAGCGGCACACTGGCCGGCACTTCTGGCACAAAGTCAAATTCCACGCCCTCGACTGTCTCATTATCGCAGTAGTAGACATACGAGGCCTTGGGGTCCAGCTGCCAGCTGCTCTGTCGTGGCACGGATATGTATTTTGCTGCCTTGGGAAGAACGGCATTCACCTTGCCATACTGGGCCGCCTCCTTGGCTGCCTTGGCTGACCACGAGCCGGTGATGACGTAATCGGCAGTGCCAGTGACTCCAATCAGATTGAGGGCGACGGCAGCAAACTGCCCGGTGCCACCGCCCTGCATTAGAAGAACCTTGTAGTTGCTGGGTATGTTGAGCAGCTCGCGCAGATCGTTGATGGCTGTCTCCTGGATCTTGCCGTAGGTGCTGGAACGGTGGGACATTTCCATAACCGAGATGCCGCTGCCATTGCAATCAAGAAGATTTTTCTGCACCTCCTCCAGAACCTACAGAGTTGGGGAGAGGAAGACCGAAAATCGGTTAGAACTGGACTGAAACGATCTCGTCTGACCATGCGGCTGACCTCTTCGGGCAATTTGGCTGGACCGGCTGCGAAATTGATAACCATACTGAAGCTTTTGCGATCTATGAACCTCTCTCCGGCAAGGCACAACTGAAAGTGTTGAAGCAGCTCCCGACGCTGTTGCTGCCGTCAATCGTTCGTGTTCGTTTATCAGCAGAAAGGCAGAATGGCAGAAAGAACAGCAACAAGTCAATGTAAAGCGAAACAAAGCGTATGGGGTAAAAACAGACTTGGGCTGGACAACGAACTCGCATTGTACAGGGGCGTACAGCGCGCATTGGAGGCACATTGTTCGTGTACTCTGGCTGTGTCTCTGGGCCGCCGGCGAAGCCAGACAATGGATGGCACATGCAGCGAATTCGATCAAAACAAGTTGCCAAGAGTCGTTTGTGGTCGACGTCAGACGTCGACTGCAACGCACGAAAACAACATGCGATTCTCCGCCAGTCCCACCCCCCTCTCCACGTTCCAGGCGTCTGTGTGGGTTGCTATGCACAATTTGCTGGAGGGCGACGAGACGCCAACAACTGCAATTGCAGTAAACAAGCTTCGGGTTGAGTGTGCACGTGTGCGTGTACAGTGGAGCTTCGCTTTCAAGTTATAGTATTTTGTTATTTCGGGTAAAATGTGTTTACGTTATATCTCAACAGATATGTCTTTCCGGTTTTCTTGATATCGTTTCTCTTCAATTTGTCTATTCAAATTGTATAACTTGTTTTTAATTCCCACAGCATTCATTCGCGGAAGTAACTTTGAATCTGTTCCCTTCGATTATTTCGGTGTTGGTTTGGTTAGAGTCTAAACAGCAGTTTATCAGGGGTGCCACAGAAATCACTTCCGCTGGAAAATCACCTCAATTCCATTCCGCCGTGCCACACACCGATTTTTCAGCGCAATCAAAATCGCTCACAATTTATCCAGCAATATGGGTATTGGTATTAGGTCATGTAAAATAAGAAGATGGAATGCAAATGCAATAGGATTTATTCAGGGTTCTAATGCTTACATTAAAGGCATTCTAAAAAGCTATCACATGTTCAATTTTTAATTCTGAAAGTGTCTAAAAAACAGTCCTGAAAGTGGTGAGTTGCGGCACTGCTATTTCCGTGACCACAGTTGTACATACAGACATGTGTACATATGTACATATGTAAATGGATCTAAATTGACCAAGCTTTAAGTTAAGTGTGCTTTCAAATTTGTATAGTTAGGTCCCTTTAAAGATTTTCTTAAAGTATCAAATTTTGATAATTTATCATTGGAATTGGTATACAATACATACAAAACATAGATATTAAATGAGAGCATTGGAAATTAAAGGCTTTCAAAAGGCTTGCAATTAAGTATGAAAATATTTACAGTCGAGCTTCTCTATATTATATTATCTATTAAATATTTCAACTCAACACCTCTAAATGGTTCGGTCCCCATGTTGGGCCAGCTAACATTCACGGTAATTATTTATGGTTGGTCCCATTTAAAGCTCATTTCTTATCCGCTGCCTCTGATAAGATGGCAATAGTTAAAGGGTAAGATATGCCTGGAATATGTTTCTATATGGGAATTTCACTAGCCATCTGGCTACGGCCTGTGCTTTAATTACTTTATCGCCATGGTCTGGCCCAGTCCAGTCTTTCCTCACAGCCGGCATGAAAGGTGCTTAAAGTTTCCAATTTACTTGCTCGGCCAAAACGAATTTCCAATGAGAACCTGGCCAACGTGTCTGGAAACTTAAACGTGCTCGGCTCGTGCGCCCGATTGTGGGCCTAGTGTGGGTGGGTCGGTCGGGCGCAGAGGTATGTAGCTTGTTTCGAGTGCTCGGATGTGGGAGGGCCTGTTGTCCATGGCTCTGGGAGTGTGTGTGTTTGGTGCTCTGGTCATTCATAAGCGTTAAGCCAAAAAGTCAATAATTTTGCTCTGTAATGCTGATTGCACAGCTCAGTGGGGGGGGCTTGGCCCCAAAGACGTCCATCCGTCCTCCAAATGGGGATATGAAAAATCTTTAAACAACAATTTCCTCTTTGACTAATTAGGGTTTTAAGATTTATTGCCCAGCACAGGGTATATACGAGTACAGCTGTTATAAATAAGTACATCATTTTCGTTATTGCGGCTCAGCCTGCACCTTGTTTACAATGTCGCTCCAGAAGGTGCCGTACGCCTGTAGCACAGTGCCGCTGCAAAGGAAAATGTAAATTTTTCAATTGAGCAAGTCATGATTTTCGCATGGCAGACTAAACAATTTGGATTATATATAGGCGGTTGGTATAAATAGGTAATAATTGATGAATCGACAGTTTCCAGGTGGCGTATTTGATGTGGGAGCTCTTATACCTAACACGGGGCAACAGAAGGTTCGAGTGTTGAGGGATTGATGCTCAAATGCTGTATAGTTCCATATTATTTGTTGAACAACAGCAGCTTGTCATACAAAATTTACCATTACAAATTCTTTGATTTAAGGAGCCTGGTCAAGCTTTTTGCTTAAACATTTTGTGGAGGTTTATAAATTAATATTTTTTTTTTCTTGAAATTTTTGAATAACTTATACATATGTAAATGTTTTCCCCCTTTTTTCCTTTAATGCTCTTGATTTTCTTCTTGGCCCTTTAAAAATGGGAAAACCCTCAGGAAATTTGAATATGCCTAGACGTTATTTTCTCTCTTAAAATTAACATTTTTGTGTAAATACTTTCTGAGCTCTGCCTCCTTCTAATATTCATTCTTCCTAATCGTATTTCATTTCATCAAACATTTAGCACAATTTTTGGTAACATGATTAATGACAAAAGTGTCACACTATAAACTGCTGTTGCTTATGCTGCCAGTCTGCACCCACCCAAGTAGGACAGTGCTATCTTGCCACAAAGCTGCTATTGTGATATAAAAAGCATTGACAACTTTTCTTCGGCTTTTGCCTTGGGCTGTGCAAAGCAAAGCGTCTTTGCCGTTTGATGCCTTTTTTGTGGAATGCATGGACGAATGATTGGATTGATGTATGGATGGATGGATGGAACTCTTTTACGTTTGACTTTTTCCATATAAATCAATTACATAATGCTTTTTGTGTGATTATCCGGCAAGTTTTGTTGGCCTGACAATTATGTGCGCATTTTGTTATGTGGGTCAACGTGGCGTATGATTAATGAATGCCCTTCCCAGACGATGATGGTGCTCCTAATACTATCACGGTTGCTGCTACTGCTGATGATGATGATTATGTGATGTTAATGATGATGATGGTGACAAACGACAGACGACAGACGACACTGTTTGATGTCAGGCTTACTTTATTGCCAAATCATCGAGAAACCCCTCGACCGTCATCCCGCACCACACTTACGTAAAGTAAACATTGCCGCGCTTATTCTGCGGCGCCTTCCATATCAGCTTGGCCCCCAGTTTGTCCCGATTATCCGAGTGCGTTATGGCCGAGCACTCCGGTATGGTTTTTGTGTTCTCGCTCTGGACCCACTCGCCAATCCACTCATTGGAGTGAGCGTCGCGGGCCTGCAGGAAGAACCCCCTGAAGACCGTGCTCTGCTGGGTGTGCGGATAGATGACCACAGAGATTTGCTGACCCGGATGGTAGCTCTGGGCATCGGCCACCACCTCAAATGGATTTGTGTGGGCTGGCTGTGTGCGGGCCTTTCCGTGGTTGGGCTGATTCTGGCGCTGCTTCACACACGTATCGGCTGGGGCTCCATCCGGAAATGCATCAGCGCTTCCGAGCAGCAAAGGCAGTAGCATAATCAGCAGCATGCTGGGCATTTCCTTGGCTATTCTGGCAAAACAATCCTTCATTTTCTTGATCTTTTTCGATTATTTCTTTTCCGAATCGTGGGAAAAACACGCGCGCGCACTGCTAATCTAACGGTAAAACTCGGCTCGCGGCCGCCATCGCCGCCCGTTTATAAGGCCTCCAGCAGCTCTAGCAGCTCCAGCAGTAGCTTCGTCAAAGACATGGGCGGGCGGTCATATGGAGAGAGATATGGGTATGGGTTTTGCCGACTGCTGCTGCAGTTTCTGCTTTGGCCAACCAGTTTTTAATGATCAAAAAAGCAATAGCCAAATCAGCGCCGCTGCCGCTGAGAGTTCCTTTCCTGCACAGTGCTCCGAACTGGGTCACACATTAGCCCCTTCCCCCACGCGGAGTCGCCCGTTTGGAGTCTGGGTTCCAACAGCTCTAAGTGCTCGATTGCGAAATTCTATGCTTCTAATCGTTGTGTCGTTTGTTTGTTTTGCGCCTTTTTTTGGTGCATTTTTCAGCGCGTTTTAATGTTTTAATTGACAGGCAGCCGCCGTTGGCGTTGATTTCGTTGGTCTCAGTATTTTCATGCTATTTTTCCTCCTTTGATTCTGCGCTGCGTTTCGCGTTTCGCAGTTGCCAGCGGCGGTTTCCTTTCTGGGCACCGCCAACACACAGACCCAGCGTCCAGTGCCCGAATGTGAATTTGAAAAACTTTTACCCAGAAGCGTGGTGTTCATTTCATTTTGACGCGGCCCGCAGCTCTGTTGAATGCGTTGCAGCTTTTGTGCATTACTTTGTCTCACTCATTTGAAAAGAACTCGACGTTTGCTAGTTCAGTTAGTGGATCCGGCACTGGTACTTGTGTGTGGGTAAATGTATTTAAAAGCCAGAAGCAACATATACAACCCTATGTGCTTTCTGTTTTCGATGAATATTTTGAAAAAAGTCTTTCCTGCACTGTGCTCCAAAATAGATGTCATACCTTCATGCACTCCGACTATTTATCAAGCATCATTGAAAGTACACGGGAGAAAAATTGGGTTGTAGGCTTGGTTAAGTAGATCACATTCCCATACATCGTATTTCCAATATACACCCAACATTTTTTTTTTAATACAAAAAGTGACATAGCGACTTTGTGTAATTGAATATAACCTTCTAAAAGCCTCTAACATATACCACAAAATTAAAAAATCCACTGTAAATATAGGACACACACTAAAACAAAACGAGAAGGAACGTGTGAGTCGCTTCTGGGGACGCGACTCTACTTATACCCGTACTCATTCAGTATATAAATTTTTGAGTTTATAATTTTTAAGAATTTGTCAATCAAGTATATTATACATTACATGTAGATTATACATGTTCCATTTAGATTCTACCCTCTCCGCTAGGGAGGGCCCCACACCCGCCGGGGGGGGGCGTGCAAATGTAAAAATTCTAAAAAATCAGAAGCTCAAAAATGAATATACTGACTAAGTACGGGAATAGTCCGTCCCCCGCTCCTTCTCGTTATTGCATGTATATATTTAAGAAATATAATTGTAATGGAAGCTAATAATACAATTAAAAATCAATGGCTATACCCTAAGTTAGTTTAGTCTTGTAACTAAATAAATAAATTGAATATAACCACATAAAGAGCCAATATCTTAAAATTGATTGGTTGTAAAGAAAAATGTATGGCCTTTAATATAATTTTTGGTTCGCTTCCATGCCATGGCTATACCTGACGATATATCAAGCCAAATTTGGAAGATTTCTACCATTTATAATGTTCTATAAAATTTAACATTTACAAAAAAATAAGTTAAGGTAATGTTTGAATGACTTTCATTTAGTTGTCCAATGAATGACAAATCAATTATTAATAGCTTATATCCTAAGCTAAGTATGCAATGCAATGCAATATGATTTACCCCAAACTGTCGATCCTTAAAGTATGCAATGTGTTTAATAAACTTAAATTTTACGTCATTTATTTCCGTTAAAGTTTGGTCCATACAATTAGGGCAACGTGGCAACCATCAAGTCATGTTATTATTATTGTGGCTCTCATTGCTTTCATTGGGGGTTCCACTGCATTTTCCTCACGTGGTCATCAAATTTTCAACTGGAGGACTTAAAAAAGCAGAGTTTCAAACAACAATTTCATTTAATACCAATTAAAAGTGGTCGTCTGTTCTATGTAAGCGCTGTTCTTGCTTAAATGTTGCAATGTGGAAGCACACACTTTTTGAGCAAACTCAATTTAGAACTCGTTTTGTTAATTAAAATGTTGGGTTAAATATTTAAATTGGAAATTGCTGCTGCATCGGCAACTCTCTCTAAACGAATTAAAGTGTTTACTCTGCGAAAATGTGGTTGACTTAAATTGTGATAAATATTATGTTGAATGGCATTTTGCAGAGCAAACAATGCTGAACTTTACAATTGAATATTTCGTTTCGTTTAGACTGGTTTTGTTTGGCTTTGGCTTTGGCTTGGGCATTGTTTTATTTTGTGGCACTGCCGAAAGGTCAGTTAACCCGGCTTAACCAGAGCCAACCCGAAAGACGACTCTCGCCGGGAGGACGTGTCATGTATTATGGATGCGGCCAATGCGAACTTTCAACTCCCTGAACTGGCAGCAGCTTCCTAAATGGCCCAGCATTCAAAATGACATTTGCGCCACATCACACCCGAGTCCAGTCGAATCCAGTCCGGGAGTACTACCTCCTACCTTCTGGCAATGCATGCGAAATTTGGTTGAACACGAAAAAAAAAACGTAGAAGGAAAATGAGGAAAAACTGCCTGCTGCCCGAAACCGATGTGCCATGTAAATAGCAAACTTTATAGGCCGTGCGACAAGGGGACAAGAGGGGGAAAAGGCCACTTCATCGACGACGGTTGGCGCGGAAAAGTGTGTCACCTGCAGGGTCGCCTCTCTCCCATCGCCCATTGCGCAGGTCCTCAGAGCAAGGCTCCGCCGCCTGTTGGTGTACATTTCCGAACAGATTTCACCAACGATAGCGATTTCCTCAGAACATCCAAGGATTGCATGTTCAGAACGTATTCAGACGTTGAAGCGCGTGGTCGTCAAAAGTTCTTGCTCCGGAAAATTCAAGAGGAGTACAGGAAAATAGCAGTGAACCAACAACAACAAATTAGAGCAGAGCCCAGCAGCAGCAGCCGTCGACGAAGGAAACTGTGAGCAATTTGTATTTTAGTATATTTATACGCGCGCGTGGTCGTCTCTCTGGCTGTGTCCCTTTCTATGTGAGTGTGTGAGTGAGGCTTTGAGTGTGTGAGTGGATGATGATGAGGAGATCCAAACTCAATTCAGACCGTGCAACAGAGCCACATCCAACAAAAAGGCAAAACCCGACTTAAAAGTGCAAACACAAACAAAAACAGGATAAACTTTTGCTTTTTGAGGCGAGCAAATATTTTGAAAAGGCACCAAACTTGAGGAGAGGAGAGTGAAAAGCAATCAAAGTAATAAATGAAGTGGCAACCAACAAGCAGTACAACAAAGTAGAGGAAAATATCAAATGAAAAGGGAAATCCAAAAAAATCAATGCCTTTTTAGCAGAGTTATACGCTACGTATACGTGATATGTACCAGAGCCAAAGGCGGGGAAAAAGCCAAATAATAATAAAGGAAATTCTCACGTGACGCATAAAAAAAGCAGCCACAAGCACACCAACAGACACACACAAACCCCACACAGATACACCTACTCTACCTGCCACACAAATTGAAGTTGGCGAAACATATTTGCGCAGCAAGGTGGCAAAGGATGTAGGAAGCATATGATTATGATGAGGCAGTGCCGGTGACTTTTTGGGCCAGTAGGAGGACCGAAATTGACAACAGCTGGAGGCAGGCACATTCAAAGTATGGTGGTACTGGGGTGGGGCAGGGGATGGGAATGGGGAGAGGCGCAAGATTGCCTTCTGCCACATTTGTTGCTGCCAGTTTGCATACATTGAATTTAATGAACTGCCTGCCCCAGTATCGGCGTCTGTATGTGTGTATCGGTGTGTGTTGGATTTGCTTTTAATAATTTAGCTTCGCTCAGAACTAAATGACGCCTTTAAAGTATGGAACGTCAGGCGACCCCAATATGCGGCAAGCGGCAAGATGTGGCAGAAACAGAAACCCACCAGAACAGAAGACGGAAAAGACGCAAAAGGAACAAGAAAACACGAACCATTTAATGCCCCTTCGCACCCTCTGTGAGTGTTTGAGAGTGTATGTGCAACCCCGAGTGGAGAAGGGCAGGCATACTAACACACTTAGCTTGGAGGACTACGTCATCCTAGCCCAGAGGCAGAGGACGAGAACCCATAGCCACAGCCACAGCCAGAGCCAGCAGCCACACTAGCAGACCCGGCCAGGGGCCGACTCTGCCCCAACGTCGAGTAGTCACATTTTCGCACTCACAATCACATCGCGTGGCATGTAGGCCCGTTCTGTCCTCCACACACAGTGGCACAGTCACTACCACACATGCACACTGGGGTGAAGTTATACGGACTCGCGGGTTCCTCCTTCGAATCGATTTGGGGGAAACACAGACTTTGCGGCAGTTGCAGTCTCGCTCGGTTACTTCGCTTACTGCTGCACGGAAATCTGCAAGCGGCGTCGAGTGGGCATATGGGGGGGAATGGATGGTTCGATTGCCCGGACGGAGACGTCATCAAATCGTATCGAGTCTATAAATATATATAACACCGATTTCCGAGGAATAGATGAAAGAGCTGCAGTAAATTTCGATATGATCCGGCAAGCGGCGGCATGACCCTTGACCTTCGACTACTGCCATGTACCATGTACCATGTGCTCGATTTGCCCATTTATGTTTCGATTTCTAAGGCCTAACCCATTCCCCGACCCCTATCCGGCCAACTGCAAAATCATTTGCCATCAAAATCGCATGTCTCTGGCACGAGGGGAAAACCTCGTAATACTCGTATAAAATAAACCAAAAAAGAACAAAAAAAAGAAAGCACAACCAGACCAGAAATCCTTGTCGCACAGTTTGCGTTTATAATTTATATTGCATTCTTCTTCTATATATTCTCTTGTTTTAGTTGCGCATTCGGCCTTGTCTTTTCCCTTTGTATCTGTATCCGTAGTCGTACTTGTATTTGTGCATATGGGCCTATATCTGTAGCTGTATCTTGCTCTGTGTGTGTGTGTGTCTGCTGAGGAGACCTTTAAGTATGCCTGCTGGCATTTTGGTACTTTCGTTCAGCTCGAGGGTTTCCCTGCTTTATGACTATTAAAATATGCATTTAAATATACACATGCACACACACACACACAGACACACTCATGCAGATAAACATGTACATATGTATATATGATCTTTGAGGTTTGTCCCCGTCCCTTTTCTGGGTTCTCTGGGGGCGCGTCGTTGAAAATTGAAATTGTGCGCTTATTTATGGAACGTCTTGAGACGCTGGCGTTGATTGCCGTAACGCCCCATTGCCTGGTACATGACTATAATAATGATTGCCATTTTTATAGGCCAGCGCAGGAAGATAAATTGTTTGTGGTCGACGCTGCCGCTGGCCGGAAAATCGTTTTCGTTTGCCCCGCTTTGAAGCCTTTTCTTGAAAGTTTTGCTCTTTTGGGCTGCAGCGTCGCTGCCCCCGGAATGAATGCCAATGAAGGGAACCGCATTGGCTGACCCATTTCCAAAGAAGTATCGTCAGTCAGTCAGTCCGTCGGGCAGAGTCAGAACGCAGTGAGGTGTACACGGCGAATACTTAATTTTTCGGGTAAATGCTTTTCGAGGAGCTATGCATGTGGAGTGGGCGGGCACCCCTCTGAAACTGTCAACGCTGTCAGGCGCCATCGCCTGCCGTAGGCGCGGTCCGCTTAATTGCTCTAATTAATTTGACTGAGGTGAGTCTGTAAATTGCGTTTAGCCCCCGCTCCCATCTCCGAATGTGTGGCCGTTCTACGAGTATAAGTAGCTTAAGGATAGTACGTGCTTACGTATGAGTGTCCATCTCTGGGGCTTAAACTCCGGCTCCACCTCCTGTCTAAGCCATCCAATTGTGCTGCGGTCGCTTGGTCCCATTTTGCTGATGACACAGACCCGAGGAACTCTGGCTCCTGCCACTTCAGTGGCAGCCCCTTATTATGAACCCCGGAACATGTGTCAGAGCGTGTCCGGGTGGGTTGGGTATCTCTGTCTGCCTGGAGCTGCACGTGTGGAATATTAAAGCAAACTGTATAAACTGTTGTTGGCACATTAACCATGTCATGGCAAGTGCATATGCCAGTCTATGTCACTCCATTATCTCCCATCCTCCAAGCCAATCCAATGGAACGCTACACAACCCCTTCCCTCGCATTCCATGGCATATATTTATTTCTGTGTCCGTAATCGTATTTCTAGGCGCAATTTAAATGACCGATGTCCGACTTTCGGGCACTCGGGCAGGCGACACTTTGCGGGGGCACTTATGGATTAAGCGGGGAATCGCATTAGCCGACGGCTTGGGAACGTTGCTATAAGTGTGTGAAAGCTTAGTGCCATATGCACACGCACCCAGGTAGCATGCCACCGTTCTGACGTGTCGCGCACAGATGCACTGAGGGGCAAAGCACAAGCTCTGCCCACCTGCACAGCGGTTAAATATTGCAGCAGTTTTATGCGATTTTCGAAGCGCCATCGAAGCGCAGCCACATCCGCAGTCACATCCGTTCCGACGGCAAAAGGAAAAATGTGCACGTGGGCTCTGCCTTTGATCGGTGGCTATACGGTGGGTATACGAGGATTAATGGTCCCTGGTAGATGCCCAAAGTGCACAGCAATTTTCATATCGAGTAATCTTTAACTCAGTAAAATAAACTACGAACTCTACCTCTGAGTATGTGCATCGATTCTTGTTTAATTGCACGGCTTTTGTTAAAATGATCAGATTGTAGCATGCACCAATTATAGATTTCAACTAAGCCGCTGGCAGACGTTGCAATTATGAAATATATAAATTATCTAAACAAATTGTTGGCTTTCACAACAATTCGAGTGAGTTTTTGCAATTCCAAAAATGGATTCAATCGCTCTGAAATGAGGGGTATTCCACAGTTTGAATGTCTGAATAGAGCAATCTCTCCGGGTGGTTTCCGCTTTTATCATATTTATCGCCAGTTAGACGCCAACACTGGAAAAGTCCATTAGAGTCCATGAGAGTGGGTGCTGTGTGGTTGTGAATCCATTGTTGATGGCTTTTGCATGGCATGCGAATTTAATGGCATGAATGGCATGAATTTCTTGGTTTTCTTTTTCGGGAAATTGAGTTTAAATTGCTGCAGAAAATCAACGCCAGTGGAACTGGCACAAAGAGGATCGAACGTAGTCCGATATCCTAATCTTTGTTCGTAGAGTTCGTTCGTTTCCTTACTCTTGCCACATTATTTTGCCACATTTGAGTGGAGTCTGATGAATCAGGAATATTACCATAACGGTCTGTTACAATTTGACATATCTGGCTTTGCCAGATCTCTGACGACACGCCTCGTTGCGTGCATTACAAACTCATTAACCGGGCTCATGTTCAAGCAATTTTCAGATGGCTGCACACCCGCACACAGTCCGTATGGCAGTAGGGCAAATGCATTGTGAGTGGGTGCATATAAGTAGAGCTATGACTGCCACAAAATATTATATACGAGTATAACAACGTCTCAACCTTTATTTATAATGTGTCAGGCGGCAAAGGTTAAAAGTTGCCCATCGACTGCCATTCTGCCACAACTCGAATCAATTGCAGAGGCAACTCGATGGAAATCCGCTTACATTGAACTCGCTTTCACTTCCCTTTTGGCGATAGGGACCGGGGGGTGCATCCCAGAGCGGAAGCGGAAATGCACAAAAGGCAAAGGGCGAAGCGGCCGCCGACGACAAAGTAACAAAGAGCATGGGACATGCATCCGCCTCGACTTGCCTTGCAAGACAAGCTGCAAATCTTCAGTACTTGTCACGGTGTCTTTTACTGCTGCTTTCTTAGCCTTCCATTCAGTATTTCAGTATTTTTATTTTTTGTATACCTGTTCACGGGGCTGGTGCTGTGCTCTTCTTGGCCTAGTGCTGGTGCTGGGCTAATTGACTCTGTTCGGGGGGGTTGGGTATAAAAGCACAAAAGTTTCAGTGCATGAGGCCGATCAGGAACCGCTGCTAGCCACG